TCTAAAAGTTATTGTAAATATCAATTTTGAGTGAATTATCTTCAGTAGTTACTAAAATATCGCAGTTTTCGTATTTCTAGAAATTACCGTTATGTGGGAAGTGGGCGTGGTTACAGTCCGATTTCGCCCATTTTCAATACTAATCTACCTTGGATTAAGGGAAACCTACATACCAAATTTCGTTGAGATATCTCAATTTTTGCTCGAGTTATCGTGTACACGGACGGACGGACAGACGGACAGACGGATAGACGGACGGACAGACAGACATGGCTTAATCGATTTCTTTTTTCATCCTGATCATTTATGTATACAGTTTTCTATATCTATCTCGATTCGTTTTGGCTGTTACAAACAACCGTTATGTGAACAAAATTAATATACCCTTGTGCACAAGGGCGCTCGGGTATAAAAATATCTAAAAAATGTGTTAAAAAGTTTAAAATTTTAATTTACATTTTTAAAATTCATCAAATTTTTATATATGTATGTTCAACAAGGTTTGAAATTTTGATCTACATGGTTTTTTTAGAGAGAAATTTATATTTAAAAAAAAAAATAAATCAACATACTAAAGAAAATTAGCCAAAAATTTTAAAAATGCGTCTTCCTTATTTACGTTCCTGCCACCATACGTATGTATAAACTTACTATAGTATAATATACATATGTATGCGTATATACATATAAACTTCAAATGCGAAGTGTCGGAATGTCGCATAACAAAAGCATCACGTCCTAACATTTCTCTGTGGGCGAGCGAAAGGCATCTGATTATTGATGATCAATTCCATGTGACTGGCCAAATAATTGCGTTTGCAAAAATGATGTATAAGAAAAATCGCTTTCTAAGTGTTAACTTGAAAATAAATAAAATAAACAAATACAATAATGAAAATTTTCAAAGAATTTCAATGCTAAAGAGAAATGTACAAAAGTTGAAATTTTTCTTTATTGTCTGTATGTATGATTGTGTTTACATATTTTTTCAGCCACATTTGTGGCCTTTACCGCTGCCATTTGTTGGCTGCTGTCCACTTAAGTGATTTTTTATGGAGCATAAAATTCATATTTCACTGCATTCGACTTGCTGTTGAGTATGTTTTTGTTTTTACTGCATTTTTAACATTTCAATTCGAGTATTTTATTTATTTACTTTGGGACTCGAATTTATCAAATAAATACTTACTTAGTTAGCATAATTATCTACATGTATTAATTGCAAGAGTGACGATGAGTTGAAAGAATTTCCCACGGTATTCGTTCTTAATAAATCTATTAACAGCTTGTAAATGTTTGTATGTATGCATATACATATGCAATTGTTAAGCCACTTGCAGGTATGGTAAAGTCCAGTTATGAAAACCTGCACGGTATTTTCATTTTAAATGCTTTCCAAGTAGTGTTGCCGCAATTATCTTATATTTTATACCAAAATCATCAGAAAAAGTTACCAAATTCAACAAGAAATTACTAAACTTATTTTATATGCAGAACTAAGCATACATACATATATTCGAATATTTTGAGTCGTTATCAGATATCATAAAATCACAAAGTTAAAACCCCCTGCCGAACTTCTCAGGCAATCACTGATTTTCGTGCTTTAAGCGTTCTGTTGAGCTATAATTTTTATGTGGCGCGTGCCTCGAAAGCCACAACACCAGAAAAGCTTGGTGTAGATTTCAAAGCTATACGACGTTTCCACGATACGTAATTCACTCTCTCATTCGTAATTCGCACTCCCATTCGTCATTCGCCATTCAATTACCACGGGAATTACATAATTCGCCATACAAAATGTTGAGAGTGAATTACCTCATTTGTAGGTAATTGATGCCGAACGGCGAACGAATCGGTACCTTCTCTAATATTTGTCGGAAATATATCGAAGTTTTCACCGGCCTAGTCCCATTTGCTGGCACATTTTTTAGTTGCTGAAAAATTAATTAAGAAAATATTCTCTATATAAAATAAAATCTTTCATGCTAACTTAAATTTTTGCTCCATCTGCGATATTTACGGTACACAAACATAATAATAAATACTGAAGAACAAGAACAAGAAGTAGAGCTGCCAAACGAATTACGATTGTGTGTCGTGGAAACAGGGTAATTCACGAATTACTTAGCAAATTACTAAGAGAGCGAATTTCGAATTGTGGAAACGTCGTATTAGTGTGGTCGGTGAAATGAACTCGTCAATTGCTCGTCGTTCTCAGAAATTGCCACTGTCTTATGGCACATTAAGGTATGTTTTGCATTTATATACATATACTCATCCGCCAAAAGCATTGCGTTCAATTTCTATCGCTGTCACTATCTCGTTGGTGTGCGCAATGCTTAAGACTCACACCACAACACAACTTAACCCTACTTTGATAACCACACTGAAAGCTGGTGAGAAGATATCCATACGTCTGTGAGACCTGTCATGCCAATATAAATTTTATGAATATTTTTTACCAAATATTGGTTTTTTAAATATTTATTTTTTATTTGAATATTTTTTCTTAGTTTTTTTCTTAATTTTGTAAATGAGAATACGAAAAATTAAATGTCCGTATCTAACTCCGGAGTACTTGCAGATCAACAGTTGTCAAGTTTTGGCTAAGACACTGCGGAATTTATTTCAACAGGTGGTAAGAAATATTTCAAAAAGTTTAACGCTTAAACGCTCTAGGATTTACTGAAGCTTTCCTAAATTGCACAAAAAATGTTTACTTTTGTTCATTAATGAAAACGTTTGGTTTGGTTGCCGGTTTCACCAGCAATTAAATGAAAAATAATTTTATCTCTTCCGACCTTACTCAACAAATATGTAACACCGAATGTATGTAAATAGATATCAAACTGAAATATAAATAACACAATTACCGAATTTAATAAAGAGAGAAAAAAATCTACAGTTTTAGGAAAAAATTATGAAAACAGCAATTAGCGTGTTGTTTAAGGGAACGAAGAATATGCCCTTTTCTAACAAAATAAACCATAAACCAAATATACCAAATTTGGTTGAGATCGGTCGAGAAGTTTTTGAGATATGCATACATAAGACAAGTGGGCGGTGGCAACCCCGTTTTCCTAAAATTTCTCGAAAAAACTTTTTGCTAACCAACGACTGTATATATCAATTTTGAATAAATATTGATGAACTCCTAAGCCACACTGCTAAAAAGTCACAAATTCCGGTACAATTCAAGGCCGTAATTAAGAAAAGTCGCCTAACTTCGACAATTTTTATGCGATTGCAATAAATGAAGTATCAGTTTATTTGAAAATAGATTTCATTTTAAATAGTACTCCATATTTTGAAAAATTAAGAGAAATAGGGTTTTTTTTTAATTTACCCGATAAAAAATCGCAACAAGCCAAGTCCGAGAATAGACTATTATATATCATTTCTCTTCTCAGATCATACTCGATCAATGAAATCGAATCGAAAATAGTCATTATAAAACTCATAAATCTACAAAATCGTATTTCTGACCTAAATCGACAGGTCGCGACCTCTAAAGGACCTTTGAAAACCCTATTAAAATAGGAAACAATATTTCTCATAAAAACGAATAAAATTAGGGGGTAGGGTCTTGAAATTAAAAAAAAATAGCGTTTTCGATGGGCACCCTAATACACACACATATCGTCACCTGAAATGCAAAATAACGTAACAACATCACCACTGAAATGGAAAAAGTCGTGACTTAATTTTTTTCATAAAACGAAGTGCGGAGTTGTAATTTGATGAAATCCATCATAGCAATCAGAGAATGAATTATGAATTTTTTATAAGTTACGACTCTTTGCACTTCAGTGCTGATATGTACTTAAGCCAGGAAGTCAAAAATCAGAGACCTAACAAATTTTAACTGAAATCTAATTTTACCAAATATGGAAGCCCATTGCAAAAATGTGTCGAACTCCATTTCTATTAAAAGTAAAATTTTTGCAAAAAATCATCGAAAAATGGGCAATGGTGATTACGTTATTTCCAAGAAATGTTTTGCCCTTCAATGGTGCAAAAGTGTTTAATATAACACTCGACCAGTGATGCCAACAGGGGGGCAATTCCCCGATTTTGGTTGAATTTGAATTTCTCGGTGGAATCCGGGAATGGTTTAAATTTCGACGAATCCAATATACAAAAAGTTTATCAGAAAAAAAAATTTGTTTGTAAAGGGCAAATAAATGTTAAAACCTACTTGAGAAACCCCAAATATGCTTGAGTTTGTTTGGTCGATCGAAAACATAGCTGTGAAGTCCGTATGCATTATGAGAAATTCAAATAAAATCTGGTGAAAATTTGAATAATTTTTGCACAAAGTCTGAAAATTGGATTCATTGGGGTTTGTTAAATAATGAGCTGTACTTTTATAAAAAATTAATAAACGTTAAACAAACAAAAGAAAAATAGCTAAAAACTTGTCAAAGTGTCGCGATGATATTAATTTGTCCAACACTATATGTGTGTTCATTATTTATTTTAACTATATATTCATAGTATTTTCATATTTTTATTTTATTTGTTTAATATTACAAGCGATCACGATACTGTAGAATTGCGTACTATTTGTATACATATGTATGTATGTATATATTAAACTGCTCCTCCATCTATAAAAATGTATTTATTGTCTCATTAAATAAACGTCCATATACATACACAGCGTCGTTTAAAGTACAAAACCGCGTATCGTCATTTTGCAAAACCGTGTAACTGACATTTGCTGACAAAAATTGGATTTGCTCACACAAGTTCTTGGCTCAATCCTTATCCATTCGCCCCGAAATATAAATACTAGGCAGAAATGCGATTACTTTATAAAAGAGAGAACCACTTTGAAATATGAGTGTTTTTTGCTCTCTAGAAAATGATTTATGCAACCTCACATACGCGGTTTTGTACTTTAAGCGGCGATATATATGTAAGGGCAGTAATATCTCTCACCACAAGTATGTAAGTAAGTACTTATGGGCATTTACGTGTGCGCAAATATTTACCTTAACTGTGGTACGCGTTTTCCGCCATTTGGAGGTTGATGTGGTCGTCTCCTCCTCCTCTCCGATTATATTGTTGTCTTCCATTTTGCGCGTACGTGTGTGTGTGTGTGCGTTAAATATATAAAATGTTAACTACGACACTTATGTGTACTTTGTATGATTAAGTGTGTGTATGTGCTGCTTTTGTATTTATGCACCGCTGTTGGCTGATGTTCGACGTGGCGTATGATATGTGCATATATCCTTTTGTAAGTAAATTATGTATGTTTGTAATCCTTTCTGCATTTAAACGCAATGGTGTATCGTTCTGCCCTTACAATTGCTCCTGCGTGTACATGCTGATGTGTGTGCGCTGGCATATGCACGCAAATATAATCCAGCAATTCTTGCTGTTTACCTCTTTATTTCGCTTATTATGGCATTTATGACACAAACGATCACACATAAATACAAGCGTTGATATAAAATGTGAAAATGCAATAATATTTAAATAAATTTTTTTCGAGCTTAAAACCTTGAAATATGACTGACTGTAGCTGCCATGGGCAAGGTGAAATATTTTTGTCGGATTTGTTGGAATTTACTTTTCAAAAAATTGCACAGCTTCTTTTTACATTTACTGGGTGTGTTTCACGTTATATCACTAATTGGCTTAATATTGCAGCTCAACATTTTTTTTAGATTATTTTTTTTTATACAAACTTTTTTTTTTTGAAATATTCTTTTGCTTATTTGCATCAACAAAGCATATCACTTGCACCTGTATCACACTGAAAAATGCAAATAGTGTAAAAACTAAATGAATACGTGATTTTAATTTTAATAAAATAAGAAATGTATTCCATTATATTTAAATGGAACGGCAGCTCCTATACATACAAATACTTTGGATGAAAATAAATTTTAATTTATACATATATTTGTATTATATTTTAAACCGTTATTTTTCACAGTGACATAATTCTAGCTGATGACAACAATATGCACCGCAATTAAAGAACAAAATTTAAGTTGCATTCACTTTAATTTATAATTTCACATAAATCACATTTTGCACATTTTTGGTTTTTATTTTGGTACCACTCTCATTCTTTGCTTTGGATTTTATTCAACGATATGCACAAAATATTATGTACAAGCTAATAAATTATATTGGCTTTGGTTTGTTTTAAAGTGGAAATTCAAAGAAAATGCTAATTTTCATCACAGCTTCTTGAGGTTATTCAATTATTTTAAGTTTTTAGAGGAAATATGTTTATTTGGGTTTTAAAGCTTCACAGCGGACTAGTATTTAGTTAAATTTTTACTGCTAAAATTAAATTATTATTTTTATTTATAGTTATTTAGACGCACGATATTTTTTTGTTTCATATCACTCGTTTGCTTTTAAGTTTTCAATCAGGTTCTCCTCTTCATCAAAAATAAATAATAATTAAAAAAAAATTTAAATATAATCCTGGTGTCAAATGCATCATCAAACTATAATTTGGTTCGGTACTTCACTCGGAGTCATTTGAATAGCACACCTTTTTGATCCTCCTCAGTTTTCCTTTGTTCGTTTAATATTCATTCAGTTTTTATAAAAATTTAGTATTATCTACGTGTACATCCGATTTTAGAATTTTATAAAAATAAAAATAAAACCAAAGGGGTGCGCTATCCTACTGCGCTGCGCATTTGTTAATAATATCTAGAAAGTTTTGCGGTATGCAGTTTTGTAGCTAATTAAATTTTAGAAGGTTGCGCTTTTTTCATATAAAAATTCTGTTGAGCATATTTTGTATGAAGTTTTATTTAATTTTTTACGCGTTCGATGTTCGAAAATTTGTTTATATAAGGAAAATGAGCAACACCGTCAGCAAAAAAATTACCGAAAGTCCTAACTACTTGCAAACTCAAATCTTTTCTAAGAAATTTAATTAAAAATCTCCAAAGTTTGACGAAACTTTGTACAATGCTCCTAATATTTGTACGAAGTTTGAATTTTCGTCTTATAGGGTTTTTGGTAAAAAACGAGCTATGCTTTTATAAAATGATAATACACATTTAAAACGAAAGACAAATGGCAAAAATTTATTAAAATATTGCATCCCTATTTTCATATATGTTCGCTACTGTATTTGTAGAACACTTTAACCTTCTAAAAGAGTTTATTTTTGCTAAAAAAGATAAAAACAACTATCAAAAAACAACATTGTAAATAATTGAATGAACAAAAAACAAAATTAAATGAATATTCTTCTGGCCGTGGGACTCGAACCTATGACCTCCTGGCTCGTAAATCCGCATTACTGCCGTCTGTCTACTTTAAGACTCTGGCTACACGATTAGCAGCTGAGGGAAGAATTCGAGCAGCGCGCCGCGACGGGCGGCTTATAACTGAGGGCAATTTCTTTCATGATTTTTTAAATTGAAGCAACATCTCATTATCGCGAATTTAGTGACTTGTATACAAATCTGCGCAAATTTCCACACACGTTTAAGCAATGCTGCTATATAGGGTAAAATATTTTGACTAGCTGTGGCGAAATGTTAAAACCAGTTTGACAAATAAAAAATATCAGTTGCAACAGAGCAAAGGCTTGCTTTAGCTTTGAGCTAAGTTCAGTAAGTTATTTTATTATTTTCGACCAAAATTTTTGTGATAAAGCATAGTTCACTCAAAATCGGTAAGGAAGCAATGGTATTTCAGTAAAGCACAAATGTATTTTAGAAAAATATTTTTAGAATACAGTCATGCTTTTCTGAAATACATTTGTGCTTTGCTCAAATATATTTGCCCTTTTCTGAAATACATTTGCGTTTTTCTGAAAATAATTTGACCTTTTCTGAAATACAATTGTGTTTTTCTGAATTTAATTTGACTTTTGCTGAAATACATTTCGCCTTTTTTGAGATACATTTGAGTTTTTCTGAAATTCGTTTGGCCTTTTCTGAAATTCACTTGACCTTTTCTGAAATACATTTGTGTTTCTCTGAAATACTGTTGGAAAAGGTGTAGTGCGCCTGTGTAAAAATATGTTGATAAACATCGTTATCTCAGTCATAATTTGGCCTCATCGATCCGTTCGATAACAAACTAGGTTTCAGATAAAGCGATTACAGTTCATGCTATATCTTTATTGTGCTGTTGGTAAATATAATAAGAGTCGCAGCTTTAAATGGTTATTGAACGATTTTCTATAAGAGCGTGCAAATATTGGGGTTGTTCTGTCCTTCTCAAGCTGGATACAGAAAAAAACCGAGTAGATCTGTAGATATAAAAGGGTAATACTTCATCTCCTGTTACCAAGTAACTACAGTAAACGAACTCGCGCCACTGTTGACAGTTCTTAATTCGTTTATTTGGTAACCACTATTAACAACCGATAATAATGTAAGTATTGAAGTCAAAGGCAGAGTCACTCTTTTGCCAACAAGTGCTACTTTGGACTCAGTTGGCAACTGAGAAGTTTAGTTCACGCGTTTCGTTCAAAACCACACTCTATAACTCACTAATTCCGCCAATGCTATGGGCTTTACGTGACGCAGAAGGAGTGGTAATCACAACATCCGGTGAAGCGACGGCTGGAGTAGTCGAGTGACATTTTGACGTTGACGACAGCGAATGCTACATATATGAGCTTTACAACGATATATGCACATAGGCATAGTTCAGCGAATACAGAATACAGCGGCACCTTTATTTCGGCAATGCTTTGCGAATTAACACAAACATTCTGGATACCCTGGTGGTTTATAGAAATGAAAAGTGCTCACCTGCATACGAAAGGCAGGTGGAGAAGGGCTTGACATCATTGGGCATTTCCTTTTGGCATTTATTTTAATTGGCACAGAAGAGAAAATACTCGCGTTATTTATTGGACTCGCCCAAAACACTGTGCGAAAACCGAAATCAGCCTGGCCTCTGCTAATATTTTCTAAAAGTATACATATCCAGTAAAAAACACACAATGGATTTGCAAAAGTTAATCCTCTCACGACCTTCCAAATACGCTTTTTGAGGGGTATCCCGAAGTAAGGGTCAAAAAGACCCTTTCAGGCGGGAGCTAATGGGCTAAAATATTCTATGAAAATATTTACATGTCTGAACTATTATTCTACCTTCTGAATGGACTCATAAATATTACCCGTTAGTTGAATGGAAAAACTATTCGCTTACTTATTTAAAAGCAAATTAAATCTTAAATTTTTTCAAATAAAGTCACTTCAGTACGAGTACAAACTGAAAGCAATTGGGATCATAAATTACTAAAAATTACTTAATAATTTTTAGTTTACTTAATAATTTTTAGTTAAGCTATCTGTCGGAAATTGCTTTAAATGCGCGCGTGGCCTCTGACTGCTCAATGTCGGAAAATAATATAAATTTTTTATCATGAAACGGAAGTAAGCATTTAAATTGCTTTGACATTTTCCTACATTTTTCTAGCTCAGAAGAACGCTGTGCTACTGGTACTAAGTTAAATTCATAAATTTTCTGGTAACCAATGGATTTGCAATAAATGCATTTCTTTTGTTGAAAATTATTGGGATGTGAGCTTGGCAGCAGATTTGTCTTTGTATTTGTGTGCTGAGTGTCACTTTGAAGTGAAGCGTGATTGCAACTTAATTGCATTTAGTTGGTTTCCGTGTTATGTATGTATGTATGTGTTTTGTGTTTATGTTACGAACTTTGTTGTTGACTTGTTGTCCGTCGTTTCCGTGGCTTTGTTTATATTACGTATACGCCCCGGGGCATGGCTTTTGTACTACTAACATAAGCATACATACATACATACATACGTAGGTACTATGTACATATGTGCTAATGTGTAGGTAGTGTTTATTATATATTAAATTAAATTTGTGTTTTGTACTTTTTTATGCAGGGTTTTGTGTGTGTTTTAATTCTGAATGCACTTTTTATATTGTATATTTATTATTGTTATGGGTTGTTTTTATATATAGTTGTCTGTGGAGTTTTTGCATTGATTTTGTTTTTGTGTTTTAATTTCTTAAATCATTTTTTTGTTGTAATGCACTGTTTAATTTATATATTAAAACTTGTGTTGTGATTTTCGTGTTGTATTTTTTGCATTTTGTGTTTTATGTGTAGTTTTGCTAATTGAATAAAATTTTTATAAGAAAAATCCCAGCTTTACTTTTGTCAATTTCTCTTATGAATACTTTTCAACAAAGAAATTTTTGTATTTTTAGCACGGCGAAATTTCAAAAATCTATGCGAAATACTTTTCACCGCGCGCACAAATCCAACTGGCAGCCGCTGGCCGCATAATTTCTCCACACCAACTTTTTTCCAATTTGGCCTTTTCGTTTCACATATTTTGATTTATTTTTTTTTTTTTTACTTTTCATTTGTTTTTTTTTTACTTTGTCTTGACTTTTTGTATTTGCGTTTTGATTTTATCTCTATTTGTCAGATTTTCTCATTTACGTACGTACGTATATACGAAGCGGTCGCTGCCCGCAGTCATTGGCACTTGGAATTAGCCAAGCAGTAGCAACTTGATGTGGCCACTTCGCTCAACAGCGTGAGAAATGGCTAAGAATTAGCTTATATGTAATTTCTTTGCACTTATTTTTAAATGTGCGAACAAACATGCTTGTGTATGTGTGAGCGCATGAGTAAGCAAGCGGGTGTGTGAATTTTGTTGGTTTATGTGCCGCCAATTAGAAATGTGTATGTGTTGAGTTTAATTTAGCCGAAGTCAAAAACCATTTTCAGCTTTTCAGTGTTGGAAAGTGCTGGGAAATTAATTTGGGTTTGTTTTTGATTTCTTCCTTGGGTAAAAGATGAAATTAATTAGAATTTTTGATAGCCAACTTTTCTAACCAATTTCACCCGCTTGACTTTCTCTACTTCTTTATTGGGCGCTTTAACCTTGAGCGATTTCGGCCAAGTTCAACAAAGTAAACCCGTCGTTCCTCTCCTGTGCCAACTGGTGCCAATTGGAAATGCCAAGTGAAGCCAAGTCCTTCCCCACTTGCTCTTTCCATCTTAGGCGGGCCTCCCTCTTCCTCTGCTACCACCAGCGAGTACCGATTTAAATACTTTTAGAGTTGGAGCGCTTCTGTCCATTCGAACGATATGATGTAGCCAGCGGAGTTCTGGAATTTTAATTCACTGCAAGAGTCGCCATACACCAGCACAGACATGATGAGGGACTTATGGAGTGTGATCTTTGTACGACGAAAGAAGGCTTTACTCCTCAATAGCCTACTCAGTCCGAAGTAGCACTGGCAAGAGTGATTCTCTGCTGGATTTCAAGGCTGACATTATTTTTGGTGTTAATTCTGGTTCCTAAATAAAGGAAGTCGTCTACCTTTTCAAATTTGTAACTGTCAACAGTGACGTGAGTGCCAAGTCCTTGTTTTTTTATGACAATTTCGACGTCATCGGCATGCACCAGCAATTGTAACAGCTCGGAAAGATCCTTCAAAGTTCTAACTGGGCAGCGGGCATAAAGGCAACTTATTTCGTGCTGTGGAAAGCGACAAAGTGGGTTAAAATCTATAAATAGACACAATGCACTCGATAAGGCCTTGTAAACTATGCTTAGAAGTCTGATACGGCACGAATGGCGGGGTCGCCTTTCTCGTTGATTGGGCAGAGCGCACTTAAATTCCAGTCGTCAGGCATGCGTCCATCTGACCATATTCCGCTGTACTTGATTAGCTCGGCTTACAGGCTGTTAACTCCAGATGCTTTGTTTTATTCAGTAGAGATTTTTGCACTGAAATAATGAATACATTCGTAAAATGTACTAAAGACCTGAGGTTTCATAACGACGACAAATTTCGTAAGATGTACGCAAATTTCATTATATTTACGAAGTTTTTTTCAGTGTAGAACACGCAGTCCAAAAGACCTAGAACTGGGGTCTACGCCCTTGTTTTTTTGCTACGGATGTACAAGGTGGTATATTGCTTATTATTAAATACGGTTCGCTGCAGCAGTTAATTAGGTAGAAAGCCATAGCTTCAATACAATACACAACACCGCTTATCGTAGCTGTAATTTATTACATGCAGAAGAAACACGCTGCACACAAATGTGAGGCCGATTGAGGAAACCTGCATATATAAGAACCCCACTGTGGGTGCCTTTCTTGATATTGAGGGCGCCTTTAACAATGTACTACCGGGGAAATAGTCAGATCTCTACTTAAGCTTGGGGTCAAAACTGACTTTTTTAGGCTCTTACATCGCATAATAAGTGTCATAATTGTCGCATCGGAGTGGGGTGTTGCCACCGTCCAGCGCAGGGTAAATAGGGGTAAAGACAGAACTCGTTTTGTTCACTAGGAGGTATAAGGTGACCCGGCTACTCCTCGCTTGGTCGGGGCCTTTCGCCTGGCGCTTTCTGATAGGGTCAAGTTATTGGGCTTGATTCGTGATAGGAAGATGCTGAAGCTGTTAACGTTATGCTTAACATAGCGGCTATCTATGTCACAGATAAAGCGGCTGCAGCAAAGGCGGTCAGACTTAGGAGCACTTCGATTTCTTGCCGGGTAACACGGATCTCTGCGTGCCTAGACTAGTACCAGCTAGCTCTTTCTCAACGCATATACCTTCTAGGGATGAGTGGGTTGCGGCTTAGACACTTGGGTTCATACTCCCTAGCAAGTCTGGAGGAGCTTTCCGGAAGAGCTACCGTTAACAGCGGTATCACAAAGAACCAACTTCCACGGTCTAAGTGAGCCCCTTAACAAGAGCAGCCGCCTAAATCTAACCTTACCTTCATATATCCCTGCCTCCAGAAATTTCCCCCTCACTCTACACTACCAGGACCCAGTTCTTTTGAGGCTTAAAGTTGGAGGACGGCCCCTAGATAAATACATTATTTGGCGGAAGGATTAACATCGAATTTGAATCCCAGGTATGCTCCCGTTCAGCACACTGCGATTATGGTTTGCAGTTTGTTAAACCGATTTCCTACACTACTGATGGAAACTCAACACAGATGCAGAATCGATAATGGGTGTCAACTTTAAGTAACTCCATGTCTCGCCAAAGAAGCATCTGTATATTATTCTAAAACAAGGCGCTTATTCACAGCGATCAACATAACGTACAGAGACAAATTGTACATTAAATTAAAGTGCTCGGTCTTAAACTAGATTTAAGATTCATTGAACCACTTTGGTAATATTTGCGTCGAAAGATTTTAAAATTGAGAAAAGCATTGCTATTTATTCGCTTTCGTCCCTGTTTTTCTTTTATATCAAGCAAAGTATTGCAATGCAGGAAAACTTAAAAAAAATCCTGGCCGACGAACTGAGGGAACGGTAAAATATTTTAAACTCTCGATATATATGCGTTTCAGAGAATCTGATTATTTCAGTTTTCCCTTGCGGGGTAGAGAATGGTGAGAGCTCTCGCCAAACTCAAAACTTAAGAAAAGTGCCAAAAGATATTATTTTGCGAGATTTTGTCGATTGGGCTTTTCACCCTCAGTCTGATAATCAAAACCACTTAAACGATCGATCAATCAATCAATCGATAAGCACTTTACGATAGTTAATAAAGAAATGGTTAATACGCTGTCCGTAGAGAAAAATGTTTACTATGGCGTCGATATCTACTGTCGTTTCTGAATATCCAAGCAAATAGGTAGTAATGTGCTGAATTGTCGGTACACAATACTTAAAAAAAATTCCAAATTGATTTTAGATCCATGGTTTCTTCGGCGAATTTGCTTAGAATTACATGTAAAAGCCTCCTATGCTATACGCACATATTAAAAAAATTGACCCGCCCTAATGTATACATACTTTTCGAGTTTGGTAAAAATATGTTTTTTATTGCTATTTTATATGGAATCGCCTAAAAACCCAAAAAGTATAAATAAGATGATGCTTTCTCAAAAGATGAGCAGGGGTGGGGTATGTGTGGATGTTGCAGTTAAGTAAAGCCAGCACACATGCATGAAAAGTGAGCTTAGGCTCGAGTCAACTTTTGAACTGATAAAGTAAGCTTAAGCTCAAATATTTGCACTGAAAATCGTGTCGGAGCCTAAGCTCACTTTTTATGCATGAGGCCCAATATAACGCTCCCTTCAAAGAATGCATTACGATTTGTTTTGCGATCGTTCCAAGCGAACATGTACTTTCAAACAAGGGGCAGATATTCATCGGGCGACGAAAACATTCAGTTCCAAATAATGTGGAAAATTTTTTTTTTATTTTTAACCAAAAATCATTGAGATTTGCAAATGTTCAGCCATCCCTATTCTATATGTGCATAATATTATATTTAATTATAAACTATGAGTTAATAGTTTGTAGTAAAGCTCTATAGAAAAACTGACCCCATATGTGATTACAAATGATGTATGATAAACGTATTATTTACTTTTTGAAGTAAAATTCCGCTTGGTATATTTTTGGATCACAGGAAATTTAAATTTTTGAAGTTTTAGAGAAACCCTCATTTTGTGTATACAATTATAGATTTGTTCGGGACTAGAGCCTCTATTAGTCCCTACATTCGGCTATTTCTACTCGTGGCTCCCCTGAACTGCTTTTATTCCATATGTTTTGGCGGCTGTGCGCTCTTATTAGAAATTACAATATTTCGTTACCGATTATCGAAAATATTGGATACTTTTTAAATCGGTACCGAGTATCGAACAATACCTAACAGTATCGACTCAGCACTTCACTACACGTAGGAATAGAGGAGTTGCCCCTCATGACTTGATACTAATAGTTGGAGCCTGGATTATTACTAGTTTACATTATTAAAAAATTTTTAAGGCTGTTGAGGCTATTCTGGTACTTATTCGATTGCATATATATTAGAAACATGGCGAACTTCATACTTAGAACGAACTGGTTTTTAGGGGTAAGTGTAAGCACCAACGCGGTATCACAAAAGGCCACTGGCCTAAGTAGAAACGCATGCATGACTGTCTTGACCTCACTTAACCTGAGTATAGCAAACATTTCATTTATTTTATGTAACTAATTGAACAAGAAGTTTGTTGATTGGAAATTATTTTTTTACATGAGAAGGAGTGGTTTAAGTTCTATGCCGTTTTGAATAGGATGTTTGCATTTTTTCATTCACAGCTCCATTTCTCATACGCAGTGGTAAAATTTTCTTATTTGTTTAAATTCAAACTATCTGATTTTCTTTATTTATCTAATCCACATTTTGTTCACTGAATCTCCACTTTAAACTCAACAAAAGTTCCCCTGTTTTTCATACTTAATTCACGCATTTATTTTATTTCACATCAAGCTCGCAAATTTTTAATTATTTCACTTTGAAAATCTCGTACTTGAATATTTTCGCGAAGTTGTTTTAGCAACGCTAACTGTTCAATACTGAGCTAAGCGGTTCAATGCTGTGCACATTGCATTGATGAGGGCGGGTGCTATGGCTATGCGTATGCCTGTGGCTGCGACGCCCCACCGCATCGTCGCCTCAGTGCATTAAACCACGCGAGCGGGGGTTAAGCGGTTCAGCGTCAGACCAGTGCAATTTCAGACTGCTGTGAAGCCCCAAGTCACACAGACATTCATCTGATTGAGTATGCGCGCCTATAAAGGCGTGAATATGTACCAGTGCATACACACATAACAAAAGCAAAACCATTTTTTCTTTGTTTCACTTGCCTTGCCTATCTCTGCTTTGTTTCTTTCTGCCGAATATGGATAAGCGTATGAGGTGATTGTTGAAAGGATAAAGCATTCCGTACAATGCACTGCCAACACACTTCCTTTTTGCGTGTTCATCTGCACCCGTTTTTTTCTCTGTATTTTATTTTGTGTCTTTTGTTTGCTTACTCTGTCATTTTGCCTTTCACCTTTGCCGCGTAGCTGTCACTCGCACTTTGCGCAAAATTTATTATTACGTCGCACTTACGTTGCACTTAGCTTTCCGTCAGCTCTGTTCGTTGCGCTATTCAGATTCTCGCCCTTCCCGTCTTCCAGCATTATCTTATGTGATCCTTTTGTCCCCTTAAATTTACAGAAAGGTGTCGGTGATCTTTCACTTTACCTCGTAAATTCATTATTCGTGCGGTTTGCTATTCAAATGAATCAGAAGCACCGCTGTGGTGCAAGGCCCGAAAAGCCACTGCACCCATTCACTGGGGAACATCTTTAACGCCTGATCAAGGCTTCCCATCGTCTGTTGAACTTTATCCATAAATTTTCGTTAATAAATTTTCATTATTTTCTTAACGATATTAATGAAAACTACATACATACATATATGCAAGTGTGTGTACTTATTTATTTACTTGTTTAAATTTGTTATGTTACTCATTCGCCATGGTGGCTGAACTTGATTACTACGCTTTGAGTGATGTAATTTTGTTTTATTAGTCGTTTTTTTCACATTGCGAATATCCTGTTATTTTGTGTTGTGTTTTTAAATTCAATGCTATTGATGATTTGCAAATGTTATTGTTTTGTTAAATAATTAAAATCTTTGATATTTTAAGCTAAAAATACTAGATATTTGTTGCAATATGTGTATGTATACACACTTGTCAAATTTTGCGGAAACTTTTAATGAATTATGCGCTCCATTAATACACGTACACAATTAATATTTCATTTAAAATTTGATCACTTTTATGCATTGCTGACATTAAAAATTTCAAAATAATAGAATTGAGTTTGTTTGCCTAAAGATATAAATTTATTCTCTCGTCTGCAGTTATTGTATGGCCTTGTACTAGCGTAGTATAAACATGTATGTGTGGGTGTGTGTCTTTTATAGCCATCCAAATTACTGAATCGATCTTTATGAAACTTCTACAAACGGTTCATGTGGTGCACAGGGGAAAATCAGGCTATAAATAATTTTGGACAAGTGGGCGGTGCCGCGCCCACAGAGAAGAGAATACTTTAATTAAAAAAAAATAAAATTACTTTTTAATCATATCTCCGCATCCTTATATCTTCGAAACTATTTGACATAGATAGGGATGAAAAGAAACCAGGCAGGTACCGATACTTTTACTTGGAAGTTGTATTCAAAGAAAGTATCGATACCTGAAAAATATTGGATCTAAAGTATTGATACCTAGTCATATCGATACTTTTGGCCATGAAGGCATTCCTTATGAACTAAATAAGTTAAGTTTTGTTATAATAAGTTAATTATTACACTGTGCGACAGTAAATTTTACACACAAAAAAATGAAGATATTCGTGAAACTATGGGAAAATTATAGTAAAATTGCGAACTTAGTTTTTAAGTATTAAAAAAAAATTTTTTTTTTAAATTCAGTGCAATGTAGTATAAAATTAAAGGTACCATATAAAAGAAAAAATTCTGTAGAATTATAACAGAATGAATTTTTTGGTGCATAAGGACGCATGGTTATGGAAATGTCCTTTACAAATTTTATCTTTAAATTTCCTTGAATATTTGCAATATTTATTTTTGAAAAAATTATTGTTTGAGGACAAATATACACGCGACCACATCATCGAATCTCGTCCTGAAAACTTTATTAACCTAAAAGGATAAAATCTATTAAAAGCGCATTTTCAATACCTATTCGTCCTTGTAAACCAAAAAACTTTCTTAATTTAAATTATACAGAATTTATCTTTAATGATTTTTTAAAATAACTTTTCAGAATAATCATACTTTTTGAAATTCTAAAGTCCTTTTGAAAAAAAATCCTGTCGTCAGTATAAAAAACTAAAAACCGCAGTTTTTCTATATTTGGCCCATAGTTTCGTGAGTATATAAACCCCTTCGTGTGTTTTTTGTCGCACTTTGTTATCTGGGAATCCTTAACTTCAAATTATATGTTTAGTGATGAATGGTATTTAACAGAGACAGTTAATTGGAAAATATTAAGAAAAAATTTGCTCTTAAAATATTTCTGAGAAAAAGCATTATTTTGTTGTACTTCCCAGGAATAAATATACGGTTTTCCAAAGATTTCAGTGCAGTGCAAATGTACTATTACTTATGTACAAAAGTTATTAACTAGGGTTTTAAATACGATAGCTTCAAAATTGTCACCTTATTCCACACACATTTGGAAGTGTGAAGAGTAAAGAATCAAAATAATACAGAGGAAATTTTACTAAAAGAAATGCTTAAAAGCATTTAAAATATAAAAGATTTTCTAGTATCTAGATACCGCGAACTGGAATATTTTTTTTCTATTTACCATTTACTTTTCTTCAGACTAGAAGCAAAGATGGCGTTTAAATTTTGCAAAATTTCTGCCTTTTCCAAAATTTTTTTTTAAATCAACTCTGTACCCTACTCTTTTTCTTCTTTGTTTATTTTCTTCAATAACAGAGCTAGGCTCCCACTACCTTTAGTATTTTCCGCTAGTCTAGTCCAAGGTCTTCATATACTAACGCGCAATAAACCCGTAGAGTTACTCAGTTAGCTTAAAGCATAAACAGACGGCAGCGTTGATACCGGATCAACTCGGGAATTAACTGCAGTTGATCCGGACTAAGTCCGAGTTAATCCGGATCAACGCTGCCGTCTGTTTAAGCTTTTAGCATCGTGTTGAAACGTCTGTTTCATTCATCCAGTTCATTCTGCCACTCGAACAGTTGGGCCATGCTGCATTATATCGACTTCGGTCAAGCAATTGGAGCTAGTATTATTTGCGCTATATCGGCTTTGTCGCATTAGCGCGGTTTTCGCTGGAAATTAAGCAGCCATGAATAACAAGACGCTTAATATTCGAAATAATATTTATTTTTCGATACCTACTCAGGTTTAAAAGTATCGATACCAAAATTACTTGGTATCGAGCGAAAGGTATCGAGTATGCACTTGTATCGTTTACTCGTATTATTTTTTGGAATGAAGGTGGAGCCATGTCCCCATTTAAGAGGACACCACTATTCATAAATCTTTCCAGCCATTTGGCGCATATATATGATGTTTGGCATATATTTCCTTTAGATCAAGTTATACCTCATTTTGGAAAAGTAGACAGTGGTACTCATACAAAAGAGAATACATCTTGTTAAGATTACCCTTTAATTAATCGCCGAATTCCTTAATCTCTCACGTTTATTTCACTGGATTATTAAATGAAGGTTCAAATTAGAGTACAAGTCAATTTATGGTACAAAAAAACGCTTTACAATACTTGTTAAGGCAATTGATCTCTGTACTCTGAACTGGCAGCTTACAAATACTTATGCATGCACATACTTACTCTCGCTGAAAATTAGTATCGGGCAACCTCTGAGACACTACGTTTCTGTGCAAGAGTTATCGAAATCGGTTGACGTGGTCCAATGTTATGCGGTAATATACATAAAAAAAAATAAATAAAATGTTTCGACGAACTGATAACCTCCTCCTTTTTTGAAAGTCGGTTAAAAAATTATAGTTTCAATATAAAGGGCCCTAATAAATATATTAAAGACCGTGCTTTCATATAAAATCCTACAAGAACAACGCTATTTGTTATTCTATCTATTTAATATCTTCATTTGTCAGCAATGAAGACATATATGCTTACTAATAATAATATAGCAATAAAAATCTATTTGCATTATTTACACTCCATGAAACAGGCAAAAGAAATTGAAGGAACCCTTCATTCGTTGAAATGGCAATTTACTATAAACGTGCCCGTTATTCACACATCGGATGCTCAACCAACTGCTTCTGCTTTGCCGTATGTAATATTTGCAAAAACAAAAAAAAAACGAATAAAATAGATATACATACATACTTAGTAAAAGTATGAAAACGGCATATTTTCAAAGGTATTAAGTTGAGCAGGCTTGTCTGTAAAACTGTTAGCTGAAATTGGCAATGTAGCTGAGTAGTTAGCAACAGCTGTTGAATTGAGAACATCAGGAAGTTTTTCTAAAACAAGTGATGCCAATTATCATAATAACCATCCCTCTCTACTGGCAGCATGCTAACGAAACAATAACCATAATCGCAGCACAAAACCAAAAACAATATTTGGCGTTTTAATATGTAGACAATATGGCGGCATATGCAAATCAAACACCTGAGCAAATAACTTTGGTAATAGTAGTAAGAAAGATAAAGAAAAAAAAATCGATAAAAACCAACTAATTTAAAGAAAAATTTTCAAGCTTCGATTTGATTACTAATTCTTAAAATTGATAGAACGTAGCGTTACCAAATGGAGTGAGAATATGTATGTGACTCTATCCAACTTAGGAGAAAGAATAAAATACGTTATCCCACGTTTGAGTGGATCAAATCTAAAGATAGAGAGAAATTTGAACTAAAAAAGAAAAATGTCAATTAAAACACGCGAAAAAAATAAAATACATTTGTAAAAATTGAATGAAAATCTTTCTAGATTTCAGAGTGGTTGTAGGAATGGTAGCTATGGGCTAGGGTGTGAACCCTTATAGGGCGGACTTAATTTCACTATACTATATAATCTTGAAGGATTAGGAAAGATCTCCCTTAAAACTTTAAATGCACAGACTATAAAAGTAAATAAAGGTCTAAATAAGGTAAAAGAAGATCAAGCTCTTTGACTGATGGCACTACTCAAAGAGAACATACTTCGACAAAATGGGTATAATTA